CACGAATCCTAACCAGCTAGACTACATCGGAAATCGAAAATTTTCCGATGTATACGATTCGCCGAGGTATTGTTGAAGTTGAATGCATGACGAACTCGAGAATCAGCACTTTCGTCGCGTTTCTATTTCTAGATCTTCTCTTGAACTCAGTGGGATTGTTATCGTTTCCCCAGACACGTTTCCAACGAACAACAATTCAGATTTCAATGCAGGAATACACAGGCAACCATCGCATGAAGCATGAGCATGGTGTTATCCGTCAATTGTATTGATACTATGGCACCCATCCCATCCCTCTGGCGGCCGGTTCCCAGTTGTCTCCATGTACCTGGAGAACAAGTCGCAGATTCGCCTGCAAGAATGCTACCTTAGAAGAGCAGTAGTCGGTCCAAGGTCGCAATCATTTTCCCGTAAGACTGAGGTAGCTTCCTCCCAGTCACCCTCTATAAACCGAGAAAACCCGCGACGGAAAACATCTACACTCGACTCGGATATACCTATGGAAAAATGCTCATTACGCAGGAAGGTCTTCCTGAGCAAACGCCAGGAAGATATTTTTGCAGGAAGACTTTCCTGCAAGAAGAGCCTCGCATGGCTAACCTCGCGTTTCCAACAGCGATGTGACGTCCGCATCGACGGTGAACAAATACTCCGGAAACTCATCGACAAATACATAGTCCTCGACCTCAGCGAGGTCTTCGGGCTTTACCAACCTCCCGAACTGAGCAGCAGGGCATCATCAGAAAGATATGAAGGCTCAGCTGGCCAGCTCACATTATAGGACGATGGAGTCGAAAGATACCTCGCTAGAGTGATGCTTGACGTTAACATCAAAGCATAAATTCCTTCTGGGTCGGCGGTCTCCGCCCCTAGTCGGACACTATCGATCAGCATGAGTCTTTCCTTAGCACGGACCTGAGCTTACGAACCGGTCTGGGAGCAACATACCTTGGAATGAGCGTAGCAAGCCGATGATGCAAAACTACCGATGTCATGAAGTATAGCTGGCTGCTGACTATGAGTGGCACCTGAGTGGCACGATCGGCAACATCCTGAGGGCTTCATAAACGAAGCCTTAATATATTCATCCCATAATGTCTTCGTACATCATAGAGTTTGGTTAGCTCCTGGAGGGCTAGAGTCCGTCTCACGTCGGGCCCTAGATAGCTGGCATCAATTTTGAAGTCACTCCCAATGGGACCTTCGACCGCCCATCCCATATGGATTGCAATACTAAGGTCAACCTAACGTGAGGCACTTAGCCAATGTAGTTGAATAAGCAACATAATCGGTCCAACACCCCACCGTTGCCGTGGAATGTTGACTCTTTGCAGGAAGCGGGGCATCCTCTCCCTGACAGTGTAGGCGAAATTGGGATGAGTGACTAAGCGACTCTCACCTCAGTGGCACCACTCCTACGGCTGGAGAATCTTTCAAGTTGAGATAACATTTTCAGACCACAAAAGAATGCCTTGTCTGCCATCTTGGATCGCTTGAGAAGCACCTCCTGTGGCATAAGAAGAGCAGCGAGTGTATCAGTCGGAGACTCACGTTCTTGAGGTCCACCTTGCTGGATTGAGGATCGTACTGATTATCTAGCTTCCACACGAGAAAGAAGCCGTTATCGATATTCTGATTAGCAACGCCACCCCTGAGAGGTGCATAATGAATCGCCTTTGGTGTAGATTGTGCCAGATCCAATCAAATAGATCTATCACGAGCCATGCCCAAATATAACATACCAATGCTTAGCACAACCATGGATGATCTTAGCAACCTTGTTGACCAGAACAGTTACGTCCTGACCATAA